CTCCTTCTCTTGTTAATGACACACATGATATCCCATGTTATCAGTGCTTTTCTCTACTTTGATCCCTAATGTCAAAAACAGTTTTCCCTGCCTATACTACAGGTCTAGGAAAATCACCACTGAGGAACCAGGCAACAGGGAGAGCGTTAGCAACTCCTGCCTGCTTGGGGAGAAGAACCAGCATAACAAGGTTTTATAGTTGTTTTCCTTCCAACAGAGTAGTTTAAGCTCTCTCATCATAAAGATTCTGTCTACACATAACAAAAGAATCCAACAGAGATCCAAGGAAAGAAAGAAAATGAACAAAACAGATTGAAGTTTTATTATCAGTCCTCAAATGTCCCAGTATCTTTAAAAATCCCCCTTTACTTCATCAGTTCTGAAAACTGGGTGGAAATAAAAACCTCTGTAAAACAAAGGACTTCCAGATGAGGACGACTGAAAACAAATTGCTTAGAAACAGATCAGATAGGTAAGAGAATGAAAAGAGAGAGGCAAAAAAATAAAATAAAATAAAAAAATTAGCAAAGAAGGGCCAGCAGGTGGCGTGGTGGTTAAAGGCGCTGGATTCCCACATGGCTGACCCTGGTTCGAGTCTAGGATCTGGAGGCTTGCTTTCTCCTTTTCTCTCTCTGGTCAAATTAAAAAATAATAACAAATAAAATAAAATAAATAAATAAATCTTTAAAAAAAATAGCAAGGAAAGCCTCATGGTTTGAAATACCTCAGGACTTCCTTTGTGGCCAAATTGAAGGAGAAAGAGACTGTCTCATGAAGAATATTCATGAAGCATAGTCTTCTGTTGACTTAGACGACAGCAGTAGCTTCACTATGTTTTACCTACTTGTGCTAGGGTTGTGTGTTTGTGTGTATGTGTTGGTACTCAATAATTTGATAATTCTTTATACCTATTTAGTTGAGAAAATACCAAAATTGAGGTCTAAGGGTTCCCTAGAAAGACTCAGAGATCATGTATTGTATCTATATTGTGTGCACACATGATGCGTAAGAAAGAGCAAGTGCACATGTGTGCTTGCCAGAGAGAGAGAGAGAGAGAGAGAGAGAGGAGAAAGCATTCCCCCGTGGAGAATGGTCATGCCTCAATCCCTTCTTTTTTGTTTTTGGAGAGGTTTTTGCTATAGGGCGTGTGCACTCGCCAGAAAGACAGAGAGAGACAGAGAGACAGAAAGCGAGAAATCACCCCCCAGGGGGGATGGTCACGCCGCAATCTCTTCTCCTCCATTCTCCTCTCGGGATCCTGGGCATGCACACACACGTGCCTGGGTGAATTTAAGCCACCAGGTCAGAGACTCAAACTGTGGTCGACTACATGGGAGTCCAGTGACATAGCCATTACACTAACTGCTGGTCCCTCAATCCCTTCTCCTATAACTCACTCTCCTTTTGGGATTTTGGGCACACAGGCAAACACACCTGGCATGTCTCTCAAGCCACAGTCTGGGACTTAAACCATGCAGTTGGCCACATGGGATTCAACTGCCTGAATTACCAGGCCATAGAACCGGCCCTGCGGAGATATACAGACATAGATATACCAGGTCATAGAACTGGCACTGCATGTGTGTGTGTGTGTGTGTACACACACACATATATAATTTTTTAAAGATTTTTGCCATAAGGCGTGGGCACTTTTGCCATAGGGCACGGGCACTTGCTGGAGATAGAGAGAAAGGGAAAATGAGAATGAGAAATCACCCACCAGGGTGGATAGTCCCACTGCAATCCCTTCTCCTCCATGCTCTTCTCAGGATTTGGGGCATACATGCTGCCTGGCCTGATTTTCAAGCTGAAGGGTCCAGGACTCAAACCACAAAGTCGGCCATGTGGGATCCAGTTGCCCTAACTTCTACCACTTGCTGGCCCTTCATATAGATATAGATATAGATATCCACATATACATATATTTGTTTTTAAGGTTTTTGCCATAGGGTATGTGCACTCATCAGAAACAGGAGAGAAAGAAAATAAGAAATCACCCCCCGGGGGGCTGGGGACACCACAATCCCTTTTCCTTCATTCCCTTCCTGGGATTTTGGGCACACATATGTGCCCAGCATGAATTTCAAGTGTCTGAATCTGGGAATCGAACCATGGTTAGGCACATAGAAGCCTGGTGTCTCAACCACTATGCCACTTGCTGGCCCCCATTTTTATAGTTCTAAGATAATATGCTCATAAATAATTCAAGTGATAATCCAAGTTGCTTTTGTGCCTTTTGACCACCAACCAATCTCACTTTTCTCCCCCAGAAATAACCAGTGTTAACTATTAATAGTTAAGTATCCTTGCACTCCCTTTCTGTATGGATACATAAGTATATTCAACCTGTCATAACTTTATTTATTTATTTATTTATTTATTTAGGAGAGATTTTTGCTATAGGGTGCGTGCGCTCGCCAGAGAGAGAGAGACAGAGAGACAGAAAGCGAGAAATCACCCCCCAGGGGGGATGGCCATGCCGCAATCCCTTCTCCTCCATTCTCCTCTCGGGGTCTTGAGCATGCATGCACACATGCCCGGAGTGAGTTTTAAGCCACCGGGTCCGGGACACGAACCGTAGTTGACTACGTCCGAGTCCAGCGACATAGCCATTATGCTAACTGCTGGTTCCCTCCATAACTTTATTTATTTTAAAGAATTATTTTATTGGCACCAGCAGTTGGTGTAATAGCTATGTCGCTGGACTCCCATGTAATCAAACGTGGTTCAAGTCCTGGACCTAGTGGCTTAAACTCATACCAGGTGCATGTGCATGCATGCCCAAGATCCTGAGAGGAGTATGGAGGAGAAGGGATTGTGGTGTGGCCCCGGGAGTTGATTTTTTGCTTTCTGTCTCTGTCTTTCCAGCAAATGTGTGCACCCTATAGCAAAAACCTCTCCCCCACAAAAAAGAATTATTTTATTTTGTTGATTGTTATGACTTCATTTTTTTAAAAGTTGACCAGATGGGGTAAGTGGGAAAGCAAGCTACCAGGTCTGGGACTTGAACTGCAGTTAGCCATGTGGAAGTCCTGCTACCCTAACAACCACACCACCTGCCAGTCCCTCTTTATTATTTTATCTATTTAATTTTTTTAGGTTTTTGTCACGAGACATGTATGCTCACTGGAGAGAGGCACAGAGAGAAGGAAAGTGAGAAATCATCCCCCAGAGGAATGTCCATGCAGCAATTCTTTCTCCTCCATTCTGTTCTGGGGATTTGGAGCAGGCATGTACACACGCCCAGTGTAATTTTTAGGCTACTGGTCCAGGACTCAAACTGTGATCGGCTGTGGGGGAGTCCAGCACCTTAACCATCATGCCACCTTCTGGACCCTGTCATATCTTTTAACACAAAATATATATCTCACTGTACATTTGCTTATTATTTCTCTTGATATGTTCTACCTACTCTTTACTCCCATCCCTTTATCTAGTTCAAATTCCTCATTTTGCAATAGTAGAAAGAAGCCTATAGTGTTAAAGTAACTTTGTAAGGTCAGACAGCTAACTAGCTACACAGCAGGAACCAGAGACCAGCCAGTACAGTAGTTTCTTAATCAAACAAAAATCTTAAGGGCAGGTAGGTAATGTGATGGGTAAAAGCACTGGACACCCAAATGGCTGACCATGGTTTAAGTCCCAGACCTGGCGTCTTGCTTTCTTTCTCACTTTCCCTCTCTCTCTCACTCTGTCCCTCTCTGGTCAAATTAAATCAATAAAAATAATTTTGTTTTGTTTGGAGAAATCATCCCCCAGGGGGGATGGCCCCACTGCAATTCCTTCTCCCCAGCATGAGTTTAAGCCACCCGGCCTGGGACTCAAACCATGGTCGACTACATGGGAGTCCAACGACATAGCCATTACACTAACTGTTGATTCCAATAAGAATAATTCTTGAAAAAAAAAATCGTTATTTATTGAGCCAAGTTTGGAGAAACTGAAAGGAAAATAATTTACTCAGAATTCAATCACTCCAGGGACCAGCAGGTGGGTGGTGGTTAAGACACCGGACACTCCCACAGGGCCCACCACAGTTGAGTCCCAGACCTGGTGGCTTGCTTTGTCACTTCCACTCTTCTCTCTCTCTGTGTCTGTCAAAATAAAAATGAATGAATAAATAAATAAAATTAAATAATTCTTTAAAAAATGCAATCACTCCAATACTTAAACTCATTTTTTTTCTCATTTCTGCTTATTTTTGTGAACAGCACCCATAACTACTTTTTCCCCCTACACAGTTGTAATCCAAAGACAAATACAATTGGGGTGTTTGTTCTTTTGTTTTCAATTAACCAATTTCAGTTCACCATACTCTGAAGATCAGTGGTTAATAGCGGATGAATGCTGACATAGTATTTCTTCGAGTAGCCAAGCCCTCCCTCCACTCAGCCAAGCCATTCCCCACCGTACTAAACTGTTCCCTTTTCTCCCACAAACTTCGAGGTGCCCCGCTACTGTTTCACTTTCTCCAAGATCCGGGGTCCGTTCACTCTTTCAGCACCTTCTGGGCAATATCTTAATCCTTAAAGAGCTCACCTCCACCCTGCGTCCCGGGAGGAGCTCCTTACTCTCCCGGATGAGGGTAGCTCGGGATTCCCCGCGGTCCCCAACAGGCCGCTTCACAAGTCAGGACCGGAAGTCTAGGAAATGGGGGATGCCGATAGCCACGCCCCGGGGCTTGGTTTGGGAACCCCCCCAGAATCTACTGAAGTGGAAAGATTGCGGGGTTATTGTGGGGTCAGGGTGAAGGGGCAGAGCCCAGCTCTATTCACGTGACGCAGCCCCAGAAGGAGGAGTTCAGGACCCACCGGAGCGGTCGCAGGGCGCAAGGACAACTGCCCCCTCCACCTCTGAGTAGTGCTGGGCGTCGCTCTCCGGCCGGGGCGTGACGCAATCTGTCCGCGCCGGGGGCGGGATGCGCTTGACGCCATCTCAGGGCGCCCGGCTGGGGGGGCGCTGGGTGTGGGGCGGCTCCGTGGCCGGGGATGGCGGCGGCCGCTGTTGCGGCGGCTCCGGGACCAGCGAAGCGTGGGGAGCGCTGTGAGATGGGCCGGTGAGTGTCGCCGGGAGCGATGGCCTCGGGGCCGGCCTTAGTAAGGCCAGGCGAGAGCTCCGGAGACAGTGGCCCCCAGGAGCCCCTTGCCCCGCCGAGCCGGGGCCCGAGAACCGCGGAGAGAAGGAGCGAATGAGGCCGCGCCTAGACCCCAGCGCGCTTCTCTCCGACCCGGCCTGGAAAGACCCCGGTGTCCCCGCGGTTGTGTCCCCACGGGCCGGGGTGTCCAGCTCTGCGAGGCTGGAGGGGCTCCCAAACAAGGAAGCGTCGCCTGCCGGGCCTCGCCCCTGCCCCCTTGGTGAAGAGTCGACCCCTACTCTGGAATGCAGAATTCCCAATTTCGGGCGCTCCCCTTGTTGAGCGAGAGTTGCGGGATCACGGGAAGCCGTACCTTCAGTCTCTTCCAGGCTTGTCTCTTTCTGTCGGGCTCACCTTTTGCCCTCAGAGATTTCGGATCTCGGGGTGGGTTCAGTCTCTTGATTCTGATCCAAGCAGGATGAGGAGCTTCGTTCTGGGCTCTGCTGGCAGAGGTGGCAGCCCTCTGGAATGGTCCCCTTGCCTAGTAGTTCAGTTGGGGAGTCACAAGTTATGTCCGGGAGAAATCCTCATTGAGCCTCTCCAAAGGCCGGGGCTTCATACTGTGAAATGTGTTTCCCATCGTGGGAACCTGGTACACAAGCTGGGCCCTTTGTTGTCCTGCCTGCAGACCTTTTGCCTCTCCTAGTAGTTTTTTTAGCTTGTGTTTGCTAACCCCTCAGTGACCTAGAGGCAGGTTTTTGTTTTTTTTTTTTAATGTTTTAGTTAACAGAGAGCAAGGATCGTTCTGGGATTGATGATATGACCCCCAACTTCTGTTTCAAAGAAAGGAAAAAACTACTTTTCAGTTACTGAAATTAATGGTAAAGAAGAGATCCGTGACTTGTGTCCACTGTGTATTTTGTGTTTGTGGAATTAGAAATTTGTTTTTCCACCTTGCAGTGTCACCTGCACCTTAAGACTCTAAATAGAAATGTTGCCTTCAGTTTGCTTTGAGGGGTGCAGTGTTTGTTCTGTAGGACTTGGCCAGGGTGGTCAGCAGTATCTCAGAGTCCTGAGCAGTATTACTTACCCTGTTTTTAGAGGTTTAGGCTCCGTTCTTTATTGCTTGACATTTCTTGATAGTTTAGGGGTAGTTTTGTGTTCCCATTGTTAGCTACTAGTGGACCAAGGCAGTGTTCTGAGTTTCTGTCATACCTGATTCAGCACTTAATATAAAGTTGTCATAACAAATTTTACACACACACATACACACACACACACACACACACACAGGGGCCTTTTTTTTACCCTTAAAATCTACTAATAAGGACTCCTCTTGAGTGACTCACCCTTGAGTGACTTCCCCCTTGACCTCTTTTTCTGCCCCAGAAACATAAATAATTGTTCTTTTCCCTTCAGTGCCACTTTTCTCATTAAATAACCTCCACATCTGTGTTTTCATAGGCCCTGAGTAAAGTCGAAATCATGAAGTTGATTTTTCCTCCTTCCTACTGTTCACGTGGGACTAGTGTTAAGTCTTCTGTTTTTATTTGTGCATTGAACTGAGATTTGGATTGGAAGTACATTTAAGCTTTGGGGCATAGACACAGAGAGAGAATCAAAAATATGATACTAAATAAAATGTTGAAATTTGACATGTGGAAAATTTTTTTCCAGGATGTATGTCTTCCTACAAATTAGAGTTAAAGAGATAGCTTTTTTTCTCAGTCAACTGGCAGGGTACTGTGGGTAAATGTGCTGTTATCTCCAGAGAGAAGATCAGGCAAGAATGCAATAATTTGTGGGCATTAATGTCTTTGTTGCTTATGAATTAAATTTCATAATGACCCCAGGGTGTTTCAGAAGTCAAGCTCTTGCTTACTCCATCCCTATTTCTGTCTTGTAGGCTCCCAAGTCAGCCGGGAGGACACTTACAACAGCTGCTCAAAACCACCACTGGAAGCTCAGGTAATATAGGCACTTTGGATTGCTTGTTGCAGAAAAACATCGGGGATTCATCAGTGGATAAACAACAGAATGTGATAGCATTGAAAGATCTTTTCAGGTCCAAAGAACTGGAGCCTGATTGGAATAAATAGGTGACAAAATTGATATGCATTGACATATTCAGATAAAAAAAATGCTTTTTGACAACGGACAAAAGTATTCGTGAAAGGTGAGAACATGAGCAGAGAAAACGTTCTTAGAAATCGTATAGACCTAAGATAGAAATAAACAGGCTTGTCTGGAGGAGTAGAACCAGAATTTTATGAAGTGGTGGCCAGAACAGACCTACAATGGAAAAGGAGCCATTGGCACTAAGAAAAAGAGAAAAGGGATGAATAAAAAGCATAAATTAAAGGTGGTCCGTGAGAAGAAAAGTCTTGTCAGACTAGGGAACAGGCAGTCTATGTGAGATTGGAATTTTGTTGCTCTTTGAGGAGAAAGAGAAGCAAGCACGTTGTAGAACAAGCCAGTATAATCACTCTCCATAGGGCCCAAGTTGTAATGTAGTATTTTGTGGGGCAAAGAGGATACTTACTTTCATAACATATTTGGGGAGCAGGGTTTACAAAAACAAGAAGACACAGGCAGACCTCAAGACTCAGGACTTACCGCCACCGAGGTCCTTGAGGTACTGGTGATATATGCGGTGAAGGAGGACGAGAGGTTAGCCGGGCTTCGGGTGGGAGGGATGGGAGCAGGTGAGATCATAATCCAAATTAGGCTGGGGAAAAGAAGCAAGGATGAGGTCATATGCTCAGGGAAAGCGGATAGCACATTATTCTTTGGTAGCAACAGGAGAAACTTAGGAAAAAGAGTCATCCATCAGCAAAGACCATGTGTTCAAAACCCCTAACTAGAGAAGGCTGAGAAGAGTCAAGTGCTTATGACAGGCATGACTAATGGTTAAACTGTTCGTCTTTTTGGGGTCATGGAGCCCACAGGTTATTTATGCATCTTTGAATGCTCGTCCTCGTAGCTCTTTGTGCTTTGTGGTTTCCCCGTTTCTCTCCTGTCTGGGCTGGATGAGCGGAGGGTATCCTTCTTGTCTGCCCCTTTCTCATACCTCCTTTTTTCCAGCAGTTCCCTTCATTACATCTTTCTTGGTGGGCACAGTTCTTGCTGTTTCCTTTGACTTGGTTCATCCCTAGGTTGCTTTTCTTTGATTCTGATTTGTTCCCTAGCAGATGTGGGCACCTCAGCCAGCAGCAGAGAGGGGTGCAGGGAAGCCACAGAGAAGCCCCTTCTGATGCCCCAAGGAACAAGTCGATCCCCTCCAGGCTCCAGGAACACCACAAAGCAATATGAAACCTGTTCATGAGAGGAGTCAGG